ACAGCAGGTGATACAGCTAGCTCTCCCAGGACTTGATAATTATCCCATCTTTTTCAGGTCCCCTACAGATGTCATTGTCCCCAGACAGCAGAAAGTAATTTTAAAAAAACAACGCCCACATTCCCAAGAGGTGGGGGTGGGCATTTTTGGGTTGTTCAATGGGTTATGGATATTGCTCATTGTTAGGGGAGTTGGTTACAAGTTGTTATTGGTAATGGTCAGGAAAAAACTGAACAAAGGAGATTAGATTCAGGGATCTTGCTCTGAAAAGAAAAAAGGGGATATAAAAATATATAGGAGGAGTCGGGCAGTGGTGGCACACGCCTTAATCCCAGCACTCGGGAGGCAGAGGCAGGCGGATCTCTGTGAGTTCGAGGCCAGCCTGGTATACAAGAGCTAGTTCCAGGACAGGCACCAAAAACTACAGAGAAACCCTGTCTCGAAAATAAAAAATATATATGAGGGGGGCTGGAGAGATGGCTCAGAGGTTAAGAGCACTGCCTGCTCTTCCAAAGGTCCTGAGTTCAATTTCCAGCAACCACATGGTGGCTCACAACCATCTGTAATGGGGTCTGGTGCCCTCTTCTGGCCTACAGGCATACACACAGACAGAATATTGTAAACATAATAAATAAATATTTTTTAAAAAAATATGAGACAGAAGATAAAAGGATAAATTATTGAATCTACCTTTAAACCAAAAAAGTTACTAGTCTTAAATATTTTACACTAGTATGGATTTTTGTATATTGATACCAATTTGAGGTTATTTTTGTTGGAACATACTGTACATACATTTCTACTCTTGTTCAAGGTATAGTAACCTATACAGATCATTTAACAATGTAAAGAAAATTAATTCCTAGTCCTTGAAAGTTATTATTACAAGCTATTATATTATATTAAAGAAATGTAGGTTAGTAGTCAGTCACCTTTTACAATCAAACTTGTAATCATATTAGGTATGTTTTCAGGGTCAAGCAGAGATAATTTTTAGATAGACATGTCATCTTCTAACATTTCATAGAGCTACAGAATATTGGCATTTATGTTTTAGTAACAGAAGGTTCTTTTTTTATGACACTGAGATATGTCTGCTCCTGGCAGCACCAGAGAAGATAATGTGCATCAAAGAAACTCTATATGGAGTTTACTTTCTCTGTGGCAAAAGTGAGCCACTGGACAAGAAAATGCCCTTGCCTCGACTGCTGACAGTGTGCTGTCCAAATTGGATAGGCAGGACACAAAAGAAAGTGATTACCAAACTTTTTCAAGACAAGGTAGGACAGCCCTTCAGAGTATACTGTTTCACTGAAAAGTCTGTCAGATATTCTAGGCTGGTAGACTCAAGATGGATACCCCAACATTACAGAGAAACCTTGGGTGACTGTCCAGGCAGCCCGATGTTTCAACATTACAGAGAAACCTTGGGTGACTGTCTAGGCAGCCCAATGTTTCTGTCATTTCTCACATTTTTTGGAAGTCACTTGTTTGCACTTCCTGCTTACACAGGCATTACTACTTCCTTCTTGGGTCTCTGGTGGAGTTCAAGACTAGATAGTCACAGTTTTCCTCGTTAACAAATTCAGAAAAGAAACTCACAAAAGAGGTGTAAAGTGAATAAGGTTGAGAGATATAAAAAGATAGTTTTGGTTGATAATATACAGAATTAGAAAGTGAATTAGGTACAACACTTTGAATTCACCAAGATATGATAGATAATGGAGTATTTTCTCTGAATTTGTCAAATGTTAGTAGACTAGACATTGTTAATGTAATTATTGCCTTATATAACTGTATATAATTTTTGTACTTACTGTATATAGTTTTTCTATGTTGGTTAAAACCTTTGCTTTCCATTTAGACAAAAAGGGGGAAATGTTGTATGATACTCTGCTTGTGTTCTGACAAATAAAACTTGCCGGGAGATCAGGGTGGAGCTAGCCACTAGCTAACCATAGAAGCAGTGGTGACACATGCCTTTAATCCCAGTACTCAAGAGATGCAGACAGAAAGTGCTGAGGTGGGGTGTAGACAGAATCTCAACCCCTTTTGGATGCAGGAAGGAGGCAGGTAGGAAGCAACTGGTAGCTGCTCCTTTGTTTCTCTGATCTTCCAAGTTATTATCCTGACAATCTGACTCCTGGTTTTTATTAAGATTAATTAGATTAATGCTTCAGAATCTGACACCATCTTCTGGCCTTTGGAGGCAGGCACACAAACAAAAAAAATTAAAAAATAATAGCTGGGCATGGTGGCACATTCTTTAGTCCCAGTACTTGGAAGGCAGAGGCAAGTGAACATCTATGAGTTTAAGGCCAGTCTGGTTTACATAGTGAGTTCCAGGACAGCCAAGCTATATAATGAGTCCCTGTCTCAAAAAACAAACCAAAATAAATGAATAAATAAGAGAAAACAATAAAATATTACAAACGCATGAATGGAAAGGGCTAGACTCATGATCATGTGTGCTGTATACATTCACAGTTTCTGCAGGCACCAGGCATGCATATGATGCGCAGACATGCATGCAGGCAAAATAGCTGTACACGTAAAATATAAAAAATACTAATGAATACATATATATGATATTAATATTTAGGCATATATAACATCTGTAAATATATATAAATACTAAAACACACACACACACACACACACACACACACATATATATATATGTTTTTTTTTCAAGATAAGCTTTCTTTGTATAGCCCTGCCATTAGAGAACTCACTCTGTAGACCAGGCTGGTCTCAAACTCAGAGATCTGCCTATCTCTGCCTCCTGGGTGCTGGGATTAAAGGTGTGCACCATCATGTCTGGCCAGTAATAATATTTTTTTATATTTATTTATTTATTATGTATACAATATTCTGTCTGTATGCCTACAGGCCAGAAGAGGGCACCAGACCTCATTACAGATGGTTGTGAGCTACCATGTGGTTGCTGGGAATTTAACTCAGGACCTTTGGAAGAGCAGGCAATGCTCTTAACCTCTGAGCCATTTCTCCAGCCCTAATATTATTATTTTTTATTTTTTTATTTATTATGTATACAATATTCTGTCTGTGTGTATGTCTACAGGACAGAAGAGGGCACCAGACGTCATTACAGATGGTTGTGAGCCACCATGTGGTTGCTGGGAATTGAACTCAGGACCTTTGGAAGAGCAGGCAATGCTCTTAACCACTGAGCCATCTCTCCAGCCCCCCCTAATATTATTTTTAAAAGAGAACTATTTTAATGGCTGAGAGCTGAGCAGGTACATCACTGATGATGCTCCAAATGGTTCAGCACTGCTGAAATGGGCTCTAGTCCACTTACCCACTTACAATAATGCGCTAGTAGTCACTCAAAGGAATGAATCACTGACAATATCAAGTCTCAGGACAAACAGTATCAAGATATCGCATTCACAGTCACTAGAAAAATACATGATCATTACCTACCCAGGTTGTCACTGCCTTGGGTCCACCAGCATTCCTGGGGAACAGGAAGGTATGCACACAGCAAAAGCAAGAAAGACCCTACATCTCCATCAACTGCACAATAAATAGTGATGTGCGGTCACATGCTGCTTGATAACGGCTGCATTTTGAGAAATGTGTGGTTAAGAAGTGAATGGTGAGCCAGGCGGTGGTGGCGCACGCCTTTAATCCCAGCACTCAGGAGGCAGAGGCAGGCGGATCTCTGTGAGTTCAAGGCCAGCCTGGTCTTCGTAGCGAGTTCCAGGACAGCAGGGATACTTAATGAGACTATGTCTTAAGAAAAGGAAAAAAGAGGCTGGAGAGATGGCTCAGAGGTTAAGAGCACTGGTTGCTCTTCCAGAGGTCCTGAGTTCAATTCCCAGCAACCATTTGGTGGCTCACAACCATCAATAAAGAGATATGGTGCCATCTTCTGGTATGCAGGCAGAACACTGTATACATAATAAATAAATAAACCTTTAAAGAAAGAAAAGAAAGAAAAGAAAATGAGTGAAAAACACAAAAACAATGAGCATAAAAGTTGGTTGCCATTCTTTGGTGAATGGGGCCTCAGGAAACAGTGTTTTCTGTTTCTCAGCATGGAGCAGTACAGAGGCATTTGTGATGAATCTCTGAGTGAAAGATACTCTTCTAGATGTCTGTTGTAGTTCACGTTTTTAAAATTGCTTATGTATATGTAGGTATGTGTATATGCAGGAATGCAGATGCCTTCAGAGGCCAGTAGAGGGCACCAGCTGCCTGGAGCTGGAGTTAGAGTTGTGAGCTGCCTGACCCAGGTACTGAGAACCTGGGCTTAGGTCCTCTGCATGAGCCCTCCCTGCCTCTGAAGCCCTGGAACAGCCTTCTTCCTTCTCCTCTGGAACAAAGCAATCCCTCTTCCATAGCAGCTCTGCTTCCTGTGTCCCTATGGTTACCTGGGCTCTACATCTGTTACACCACTCCTTACAAGGTGTTAGCAGACCTGTGTACTTGGGGCTTCCTTCACCAGTCTGCAGGTTCCTTAAAGACACAGACCATGTGTGTCATCTCACAGGACTCCTGTGAACAGGTGGATGATGGGATAGCCAGACAGAAGAGCAAGCAGAAACAGCGATGGTATAAACCCACCTCGACATCAGGCAGCCCAGCTCCATCAGACCCTGAAATGGAGGCTTGGCTCTCTGGACTCTCCCCTTTTCCCACCCTGCCTTGCCCAGGCATCCTGCCCTAGTTTTCTAGGCTCAAGAAGTCCCAGCAGGCCTAGTGCCAGCCATAACACAATAGCTGTCCAAACCAAGATCCAGCTGAAGGCCACCCCAGCGGGTCCCTCTCAGCTTCCCCATCCTTCCTCCTTCCCGCCATCTACAGGAGTGAGGACTCGGGAACTGATCCATTATTTTCTCTTCCCGGCCCTTCCTTTCAGTACTATAACTTTCAGGCAGAGCTCCAAAGAAGCCCTATCCACATGAACCCCAAAAGCCTAAGAGGGAGGGAATGAAAGGAGAGGTGCATTCCCACTGCCCGTCACCTACCGGAAGCCATTCTGTGGGTTCCTAGGGTTCATCAGGATGCAGTCCCAGGTACGACTGGAAGCATTCTGGAACAGGATCAGCTGTCCTTCCTCTCGAGCCCGTTCACTGGAGGCGTAGTCGGCCACCAATACCTCCTTCACCCGGAATGGGTTTGAGAACAAGTTGGTGACACTACTGAGGGTGTTGACGAGGCGTCCGAAGAACTGCATCCTCCGTGGGGCAGGTGAGGGCCCAGCCTGCCCTCTCACTCTGAAAGAACATAAGGTCTCTGGTCAGTTGGACAAAGTCTCTCATGCCCACCTACAGGTGTCCTGCCGGGCACTCCATCATCCCCACAGCTCTGGGCCCTAATTCTGGACCTGCAGGAACCTGAAAAGGAAAGAAATGACCCTGAGGGGAACAGCAGGACTGTTGGAAAGTTCTAGAGTCCCAGGCCAGGCCAGGGACCACTCTGACAGAAGACTGTTGCGGACAGTAAGGACAGCGGGCGTGGATGTGCTATCTGAGGCAAGGCCTGGGCAAGTGAACAGCTTCTCACCTCCAAGTTAAAGATGACGTTCTGCAGATAGCACATGTCAATTCCATAAGCAAAGCCAAGGGCCCCTCACTACGACACATCAGACTGCACCACACCACTAGGAAGAGGGCAGGGAGTGACTGTCTCTGCACCCTGTCACTGGTGGTTTCTCACAGAGCTCTGAAAGCAGTCATGGAGACAGGTCCTTGGGATGAAAGTCAACTCAGGCTCAGACACGCCAAGTGTGTGTTTGGGGATTTGTGAACATAGAGATGTGTGCCAATGTCTGTGCGTGCTTGTGGAACCAGGGCCAACTTTCAGGTGCTTCCCACCTTGTTTTTGAGACAGGGTCTCTCTCACTGACCTGGAACTCACCAAGAAAGTCAGATGGGATAGCAAGTGAGACCCAGCACCTCCTGTCTGTCTCTCCAGCATCATGATCCCAAGTGCAGGTGATTGTGTCCAGCTTTGTTTGTTTGTTTGTTTTTTGAGACAGGGTTTCTTTGTGTAACAGTTCTGGCTGTCCTGGAACTCACTTTGTAGATCAGGCTGGCCTCAGACTCAGAGGTCCACCTGCATCTGTCTTCCAATTGCTGGGATTAAAGGCATGGCCACCACCATGCAACTGCCCAGCTTTTTCAGATGTAGGCTGGAGATGAACTCAGGTCCTCACATTAGAATGACTGAGCTACCTCCTTAGCTGAGATAAAAAAAAACAAAAACAAAAAACAAAAAACCTACAAATTCAGTCAGAGTTTCTGCTACAAAAGTTGTCTCCCAGTTTAGATTGGAGTCTTGGATTTGTGTGCCACGTACACTAAAGATGGAACCCAGGGCCCCACATTCATCAGGCTGCACCCCCAGTCCCAGAGTTAGAAATGTGTTTTCCTAGGCTCCCAGAAAGCACACTACCTTCCCCAGAGGCCACCCCCTAACTCAGAGTCAACATGCCACCTGCTGAAGAGTAGGCCAGACAGCACAGACAGAGCACCGCACTAGGGATGTCCTGAGGGAGGTGGCACATGCGTGGAGACCAGTTCTCAGCCTTGTTCTGCTCTGGTCCAAGGTAGAAAAAGAGGACTGGCCTTGGAGATGGGATAAGACAAATCAAGTGGCCTCCAGAGTGAGCTAAGAACAGAGCCGGGTCAGCCATGACGCCACCTCAGAGCTTCCCTTTCCAGATTCAGCAGCTGCATTCTGAAAGCGTTCATGGAGAATTCCAGAAATAAGATATTCATTAGTTGTAAACGTTATGCTCTTCCAGATGCATGGTGAAGGCAAACCATGCTGGTGTCCCTCCCCCAGGTGCACACACAAGCCCTTTCCATGACTTCCACACTACAGACACATCACCTGTTAGTCACCTAGCCGCCTGCTTCCTTCTCAGACAGTTCTGGCACTGTGGTGCTTGTGTCCAGGTGGCTCTGGTGCTAATAATGGCATCAAGAACTAGCGCTGCTGGGAGTGTACTTGTCTGGCATACACTAAAGACAAAGCCCAGAGTCTGCAAACCCTAGCACTGTATAAACTGGGCATGCTCGTGCACACCCATAATCCCAAGCACTACTCCAGGGGTGGAGTTCAGGGGCATCCAGGCCCACGTGGTGAAGTCGGGGCTAGCCCGGCACCTGGAAGACAGTGCTGTTCTAATGCTATCTCTATTTAGTCACCCCACCCCCATTTTACAGATAAGGAAACTAAATCTTAGCGAATACAACTGCAGCTTCTATGACAATAGTGAGACGTGGTGGGAAGAACATAAGCTGTGGTCCTCTCCTTGAACACAGGGGCAGTCATGTTTGGTGGCCCACACCTGATATCCCAGCACTCAGGAGGCAAATGCAGGTGGTCAGCCTGGGCATGTCGCACATTCCAGGCCAGTTCTGAGTCTATGGTAAGACCCTGTCTTGACAAATCAAAGTAGACAGGGCTGGAGAGGTGGTTCAGAGGTTAGGAGCACTGGCTGCTCTTCCAGTTTCCAGCACCCACACAGCAGCTCACAACCATCCGAAACTCCAGTTCCAGGGGATCTGGCGCCCTCTTCTGCCTCCACAGATGCCAGGTATTCACGTGGTGCACAGACATACATGCAGACAAAATAAGTAAGTATACACAAAATAAAAATCAATAAACCTTAAAAAAGCAGTAAGACACAAGACTCATTAAAATAAGACACTAAGAAAAATTTCACATGATCTCACTTACATGTAGGACTAAATTCAAACAAAAAATTGAACAATGGCTATTGGATCAAGAAATAGAACAACATAGATCAAAGGTCACAGTTGGGCATTGTGGAATATTCCTTTATACTGTGTGAATATATGTTGCTGTGATTGGTTTAATAAAGCTGACTGGCCAACAGCTGAAGGGGACAAGGTTAGGCGAGAGAGCTAAACCGAGACTGCTGGGAGGAAGAAGGGTGGAGTCAGGGTTGTCAGCACATGCAGAAAGAAGCAAGATGGGCATGTTGTACTGAGAAAAGGTATTGAGCTACATGGCAAAGCATAGATAAGAAATGCGGGTTAATTTAAATGTAAGAGTAGCTAGTAAAAAGCCTGAGCTATTGACTGAGCATCTACAGTTAATATTAAGTTTCTGAGTGATTAGGTGGGAGCAGCTGCCAGCACAGGAAAACTCCACCTACAGAGTGTAGAGGCACAGGTCTTTAATCTCAGCACTCTGGAGGCAAAGGCAAATGGATCTCTGAGTTCAAGGCTAGCCTGGTCTACATTGTGAGTTCCAGAATAGTCAGGGCTATAAAGAGAGACTCTTTAAAAAAAAATCAAAGATCACAAAATAGAGAATAAACGAGTCTGGACAGACAACATAAAGTTATGATTAAAAGTAAGACTACCATGGTAACAAGGTGGCTTGGCACATTAAGGAACTTACAGCCAGGCCTGACAACCAGGTTGATCCTTCAGACTCACAGGTAGAAGGAGAGAACTGACTTAAGTTATCCTCTGGCTCCCACGTATACAACATAATACACACACACACACACACACACACACACACACACACAAATGCACACAAACAGACAATAAAAATGGTAAAATGTAATAAAAATCATATACATGCTCTTCCCTTCTGCACAGCCACCCCCAGTGCCATTACCCTCACTTTACATGGGAGGACACCAAGTAACAGAAAGGTTAAGTGACATGCCCGAAGTCACACAGCTGACAGGGTGAGGCATGACCGCTGCATCCTCTGTGAGAGACTCCAAGGCAAGCTTCTCACCCCTGCACGAAGTACTGCTCGAGTCGATTCAACTTTCCTTTCTGCTTTCCTTCCTTTCTTCCTTCCTTCCTCCTGCCCTCCTTCCCTCCCTCCCTCCCTCCCTCCCTCCCTTCCTCCCTTCATGTTTTTTTTTTGTGTGTGTGTGACAGGGTTTGTCTGTGTAACAGCCCTGGCTGTACTGGAGCTTGCTCTGTAGACCAGGTTGTCCTAACTCACAGAGATCCACCTGCCTCTGCCTCCCGTATGATGGGATTAAAGTTTCCCATCAAGTTTCTTGATTCAAAATTCCACTGAGAAAATATTTTGCACATTTTTTTTAAAGAACTGGCCAGATGGCTCACTGGGTAAAGGCAGTTACTGTGCAAGCCCAGAAACCTGACTTCACCCCCTGGAAGCCATGCTAAGGTTGAGGGGGTGAGGCGACTCCATGAAGTTGTCCTCTGATTCCACATGTCCATCATAGCATGCACTACACACACACACACACACACACACACACACACACACACACACCCCACACATGTAAAAAATAAATTAAACCCAAAATAAAAAAGACAATAGATAAAAGAAGCATACCAGGAAGTCTGGAGGTGAAGGTCGTGCTTTTGTGGGTAACACTGTTGCTTTTCTTGATTTCCCAAGTGGCACACAAAATTACTGTGGCTTTATGGAAAGCAGGTGTGTAGTCTGGGCTGCGTGTCAGGCCTAGCACAGAAGAGCTATCTATAGCTTCATGCAGATTTGCCAGCGGCCAGGCCAGATGTGGAACAGTGCTCCAGGGATGGAAGAGCCTCGAGAACACCCACTCGCCAGTGGGACCAGCAGTCTCACTTAGAGGAAGGTCCTCACCCCAGCAGCCTCTAGCAGAGACACCACCCCTGTGCTGAAAGGCCTGGCTTCCCTCCAGCCTGCTGGGGCCAGTGCAACATAATGATGTAACTAAGGAAAAGGCCAGGATGCCAGTCCCCTGTGACAATTCTAACAGCAGCCATTGTTCTCACCAGCTGAAGAGAGGAAATGAAGCCTAGGGACCTGTGGGTCACATCCTGGAACAAGCATGCATGGACAGCCAGGGATGCTACAAGGCCTTTCTCCTGCCATCCTGTCCCTACCGCCTCAGGGCCCAGCTAGGTCCTTCCAGGCTAGCTACAGGGAAGAATTCAGACTGGGAACAAGCAGCTCCCAGGGCCTGTAAGGGTCCTCCACTAGGTGCCCCCTCCTCACCTGCTGGGCTTGCTTCATTCAGCTCCTATGTTCCTATAACATTCGTTTTCTACTACTGACCTTTCTGTTCCGTGCCAGAGCTGGCTCCTTGATGGGGCATCTGACACAGACTGCCTGTTCCCGCTTCTAAGTGCTACAAGTTAAAAGAGAAAAGCCCGAACTGTCCATGGTGGTGCTGCCAGTGCTCACTCCAGCGCGTGGTGAAGCTCGGTGTCTATCACCCACCTGGTCAGGGCCCAGTGGACCTGCTTGGTTTGTTTCTGGAAGAAAGACGGTGTCTGTGGGATCTGAGACTGTCCTGGAGGGACTGAAGAGAGGAAGGCCAAAGACTAGTAGACTCACGACAGAAACAGGGAACTCACATCCAGGGAGGGCCTCAAATGGAGGGTTCAAAAGACAAGGCCACCAAAATGAAAAACAGAAGTCCTGGAGGGGCCCTGGAAGAGTCTGCAGTTCCCCAGAAGGGGATACGTGGGTTCAGAGCCCAGGTTCTGCTCCGAGTGCACGATCCCTGGGTAAGGACATTAGAGGATGGGGCTCAAGTTCTAAGGGAAAGGCAGAAGGCACCTAAGGGGCATGGGGAGAAGCCCCCTCCCCAGCCTGTACAGCAGAGGGAATGGGTAGAAGGACAGAGACTTGCATGGCCACCATGGACAAACATGTTGTCTGGCCTGGCTGAGGGAGGTCTGCATCCGCCTCATCACGAAGGTCCTTAGGCAAGTCTCAGGAGAGACAGGAGCTGGGCCACTCTTTGGGGTCACTCTCTTGCTAAGGTTACCACTGTTTGTCTGGCTTCCTCACTCTTGGATGGTTTCAGGTAGAAGCTGCTAGGTGGGAGCCAGGACTCACTCAGTCCCTTCTATAGGACCCAGAATGTTCTCCCTGCGTACGCCAGAGCCCCTCCTTACCATCCTGGGTCCTTTGCTGCTCCAAAGGCAAAGCAAGCACTGGACGGGCCCCTTCCTACAGCTGGCATTCAAGACGTTTCTAAATGGAGGTGTGTGAAGCCCAGGTCGTGGCCCAGTCTTACCCACACGGCTCCTCTGTGCCTATCCACAGGCAGACTACGGAGTGAATGACCATACTCCCCTGCTGCATGACCGCAGCTCCCCATTGAATGGTCATGCTTCCCTGCTGTACGCCCCATGGATCTCCAACACTTCAGAGAAAACCCAAACTCCAGAGCACATGTCAGAATCTCCAGAAGAGGGCCAGCCTGCACTCCCCCGCACCCTACTCTAGTCATTCAGCCCCAGCATTATCTCCCAGACATGCTAGGCTTGTGCCTCAGTGTGCATAGGCGCTCCAGCACCCTCATTTCCTGGTCTGCATTGCCCACTGCCCCACTTAACCTCTCTCTCCTGACAGATAAGAGGTGTGCACTCAAATAAACCTTCCCTCTCTTATCTCTCAAGACCCAGTTTGGGAGCCACCTCTCCCAGAAGCCGTCTTTTCTCTCAGTCTATCTCCTCTGCAACCCCACACCATGGGCGTCCCTCACAAAGGAACCCTGGCACTGCTTTTATTCCTTCTTCAAGGGCGTGACACGCATTTCCAGCAGCTGTTTGATAAACATTAAGTTTATCGTTAGCTTAACAAATCACTGGCGGAATGGGACACCTCCTGGCATCCCTGGAGCAAGTAACAAGGAGGCCCCGCCTTCTTCTGCACACCCGGCTCTTCTCTCCACAAGAAAGGAGCTGAACCCAGCCTTCTGTTTTCCTCTGAGAAGCACCTGCCTCACCCAACTGCAGCCACCACCAGGAGACCCTTCCTCCAGCACTGCTGGGTCTTACAGGAGTACCAGAGGGCGCTGGGCTGGTTCCTCCTGGAAACATCAGTTTCACCAGCCAGCAGGGTACCAACAACCAAGCGCATTTTTAGCCTGCCATGAGAGCTGTTTAGTGATGGGGCTGCCTCCACCTGAACCAGTCATAGAAGGAGAAACAGGCCAAAATATCTGAACAGATCTCAGATGATGGTTGTGGGGGTTTCCGGGCGCACGCCCAAACACACAAAACTGCCTGTCACAGCATGTCTCACGATCGGAACACTAGGGTACCATCCTCCTGAGCAGCTGGCACCTCTCCTGTCCACCCCACCCCCAGGCTGCAGGTTGAGAACCCGAGGACTGATGCAGGTATGAGGCCTGTTGTCGTTGGTTTGTTTGTCTGTTTTTTTCCCTGAGACAGGGTTTTTCTGTGGCTTTGGAGCCTGTCCTGGAACTAGCTCTTGTACACCAGACTGGCCTCAAACTCACAGAGATCTGCCTGTCTCTGCTTCCTGAGTGCTGGGATTAAAGGCATTCGCCACCCTGTTGTCGCTCTTGACTTCCTTTCTATAGCTTTCAATCTGTACACAATGCCCGGGAGTGTATGCCCTCCACACAGGCCACACTTCCTAGTGTATATACATAGGGCGTTTAGGTGCAGAAGAATGTACACATAGGCACAGTATTTAGGTATCTTGGTGATAACACTTTGCTGGGCAAATAGGAAATCCCCTCTTAAGTGTGCTACCATAATCACATAAAAGGGTGAGGAAAAACCCTAAGCACTGAGCCAACAGTAGGAACCTTTATACAACATGACAGTCACACGTCTGGTGTCACACTGTGGGGCACAGGAGGAAAAACAGGGAAGGCATCTGCCCCAGAAGCGATGTGATTCAGCCACATGGTACACTGAACAGTGTCTGCCATTCCCCCTCGGGTACCACAGCTGCCTGGGTGCGGGTCACTGGGTCCCACCCAGTATGGGCAGGATCAAGTCACATGACACTAGCTCAGGAACAAAACTCAAAGTACGATTTCTACTACACGGAGACCTCTTTGTAACATTGTCAACTCCAAAAATCAAGTCAACCTATTAGACACTGGGAACCCTCAGAGCTGGAGAGGTGGTTCAGAAGTAAAGAGTTGTTGCTCTTGAAGAGGACCGGAGTTCAATTCCCAGCACCCACACGGCAGCTCACAGCCTTCTGTAACTCCAGTTCCATGAGATCCAGCCCCTATTCTTCCCCCAACACACATCCACACCAGGCACACATGGAGTGAACGTAGATGCAGGCAAAACATTCATATGCATTAAATAAAAATAAATTATTTTTAAAAATAATACACTGGGGACACTCTCCACTGAAAATCCAGCTCCAAGCTCATGAGCATGGCCTCCCTTCCTCGTGCTTGGTGGTACATCAATATTTGCTCAGTGGAAAAACGAATGAACAGTAAAGGTGACATGAATAAAAAAGAGCCTGTGTAATAGCGGTGATTAATAAACACTGAAAACATGAACAAAAGGAAATGTCCTTCCGCTCTTCTCTCCCCCATCACCGGTCCCTTTCCCTTTCCATCCTGCCTATGACACACGCACTTGTACAGGGCCACACTGGCCACTAGCTTTGTCTTCTACCTCTTCTCAAATACTGAGTCTCATGGCAGCCATAGTGGGGCAGGAAATACAGTCCTGTCTGGGACAGTGAGGAAACTGAGACCCTGGGGAGAACAGGGCCTCCAAGTTCCAGAAAGGCTGGGACAAAAACAAAACACTGAACTCGCCCAAGGGTGGAGCTTCAACAATGCCAAACCAAACCTGCCCAATCCTGTTGGGCTGGCAAGAGGGCAGGTGAGGGAACCTTAGAGGAAGGGTTAGTATTTGTTTGGGGTCATGTGAGTAGCCCATTAAAAACAAAGGCACCGATCCATGAGCCCTTGTGCCCTCCCAGTCTCACACCCAATCCCTGGCACAGCCACATAATCACCTGGGTCACAGGCTCCCTGTCACCAGCTTCCAGGTCATCTGTGGGAGCTGGAGGTAAACCCAGAATTGGGTGCTAGAAAACTGGGGAGAACACTGGGGAGCAGAAGAAAATCAGAGGCACGAGAAAAGATAAGCAGGGAGTTAGAAATAGGGGGCGGGGGACACAAAGGGAGGGACACAGGAAGCAGGTGGCCTGGAGGAAATAGGGCAATAATTTACCGAGGCAGAAAACCCAGGAGCACTTAGAAGCACACAAGGAGTTGGGGACAAGGGGCAGTCCAGGGTGTAAGCCGGGGCACTGAGCTGGGAAAAGGGTTAATTTAGGAAGTTAGGGAATCTAAGGGAGGCAGCCGAGAAGAATGCGGATGGGAGTTGGGGACGCCAAGGGATCAAAGGACAGAAGCCGGGAGCACTGAGGGGGAGGGGAGGATCAGACAAGAGTTAACGGAGGCCGAGCCTCACAGTCGAGACACGAGGCCAGTCCTAAGCAGGGAGGGTCCAACTGGCGACGTCCGAGACGGTGTGGGGGGGAAACCCAGAAGGTCTGGGTAGGGCCGTCAGGCCCCGCCCCCGCCGCGCCGTCACTCACCTCCGCTTACTCAGCACTGCTCCGCCCTCCTACTTCCGCAAACAAACGCGCCCCGACCACCTGACGCCCCTAAGGCTCTCCACCAATCGACGGAGCCCATGCGGCAGGCAGGCTGCGGCCCCGCCCCCAAGCACGGCCGCACACGCGGCCGGGCGCCTCCGTCTTCTATAACAGCCCAATGGAAGCCACTTCTGTTGCCAGAGGGCGGTCGAGATTCCCGTTGGAGCCAATCCTGCGTGGCTGATGGCGGCCATATCTGCATCGGGCGGAAGGTCCTCGTGAAGGCAGTTTGGCTGACGGGTTGGTGAGGGGCAAGTGGCCGCCCCTGACTCGCCCTGACCACACGCAACCCGGGATGGCCCTGAACTTTTCTTTCTTCACGACATCTCATGAGGGTAGTAAGAAAGCCAACAAAACCACAAGACATAACCAGGGAAAACCTGCTTTGATTTTGCCAGGTTCTCCCAAGCCAGATTGCAAATCAAAATATGGGATTTCTGATTAGATTGAATTAAGACTAAAAACGATAATGTTTGCACGTGGGCGCTTGTGTGGATGTCTTTTCCTAATCCCTCGTCACCTTATTTATTTTTAGACAAGGTCTCTCACTGAACTTGGAGCTCACCCACTGGGCTAGCCATGGGACCCCAGGAGTCCTCATGTCTCCTCTGTCACAGCTTTGAGGTTATAAACACACATTTAGCCTTTTCGATGGATGCTGGGGATCAAACTCACGTCATCATGACAGCTCAGCAAGCATTTCTAACCTAGCAGTCTACCCAGCCCCTAAACTGTGAGTGCTATGTGATAGAATTTTATTTGTTGTCTGGATCCATAACTCAAGATATCAAGGAATGCTGAGTGTGGTCATTGCATACTTGTAAGTCCAACCCTTATATGCTGGGGACTGGAAGATCAGAAATTCAAACTTAGCTTCAACTAGTTCAGTTAGAGCCCAACCTGATATTGTCTTTAAATAAATGTCTGGAAATAGCTTAGCACTTTTAGTAGAAAGTTGGTCAAATGATCTATGTGAAGCTGAAAAGTGACATCAGGGGGGTAGATGGTGGTCATTGAGAAGACTCAACCCTGGTGCCAATCTATAGTGGGATTTTCATAAATGGCAGTTAAGATTAATAATACTGATATTGAGGACTGCTAGAGAAGAGCCAGGAACCCGGGTTTGGTGATTCATTTGCTTCTGACTAAGAAGGTCTCTTCCCCGTCTTCGGCCCACCTGATTTGTTTGAATCTTTATATTCTCTAAGGAGCCTGGAGCCAGAGACCTCCCAGACTGCTCTCTGTCTGAATGAGAAGTGTAGTCGCTGGTGCTCCTAGTCCCTCCGCAGACGTCAATGCCCAATTGTGGGACAGCCAATGCTACCACCCTTCTATGTTTAGTTAAGAATCTACACAGGCCCGGCAGTGGTGGTGCACGCCTTTAATCCCAGCACTCAGGAGGCAGAGGCAGGCAGATCTCTGGGAGTTCGAGGCCTACAGAGAGAGTTCCAGGACAGGCCCCAAAAACTACACAAAGAAACCCTGTCTCAAAAAACAAACAAAAAAAAAAAAGAAAGAAAGGGAAAAAAAGAAGAAAAAGAAAGACCCTACACGGGTTGCCAGGGCCATTGGCACACACTTATAATCCTGCCACTTGAGAGGGAACAGTATAGTTTCACAAATCCAAGGTCAACCTGAGCTGCATAGCAAAATTTCACCTCAAAAATATAAGTAAAATATAAGTTTTTCTCTGTCCTGCCAGTAAGATCCTAAATAATGACATGGAGACTTCTTGTTAATTATGAAAGCTCGGCCTATAGCTTAGGCTTATTTCTAACTAGCTCTTATATCTTAAATTAACTTGTATTTTTAAGTCTATGTTCTTTCACGTGGCTTTTTATCATCTGTTCATTTTGCACTTTCCATTTCATCTCCCTGGCAACTCACATACCTAGATTCCTTCTTCTGCTTCCTCTCTCTAACCGGAAGTCCCACCTACACCTCCTGATTAGTTATTGGCTGTTTAGCTTTTTATTATACCAATCACAGCAATACATCTTCACACAGTGTACAAATGTCCTATAACAGTAAAAGAATAAGGGAATTTACATAGGTTACTAAAACCAACTGTAGCTGGGCAGTGGTATCGCACACCTTTAATTCCAGCACCCAGGAGGCAGAGGCAGGAAGATTTTTGTGAATTCGGGGCCAGCCTGGTCTACTGAGTGAGTCCAGAACAGCCAGAACTGCACAGAGAAACCCTGTCTCAAAAAAGCATAAGTAATAACTGCAGTTACTAATAACTGTATAGAGTGTTACTGATACCATGAGCTGCTGGTAGTGACATTAGTGGGTAGTTAATCTCTCTTTTTGCAGGGGGAACTGTTTCTTTAAGCTAAGATTTAAAATTTGTTCAAGTTTTATCTTTGATTTGAGGAAATAAATGAAGATTTTTCTTAGTGAAAATACTTTGCCCTCCATACTCCCCCAAACGAAATTAGGGTGATGGCAATGCGGAAGGAAGCTTGCAAAAGACAGGGCATCCCGCCCACCACCAGAAGGTTAACAGGGTGAGCTCCATTCATAAGCAAACACTCACCCTGTGTTCAGATTGGCAGGTTTGACAACACTACCACACAACCGGATCTGAAACACAGGAATGGGCAAGGAGCCTGGGTCAGTGGGGCTGGAGGCACCGAAGGTGCACAGAAAAATACTCAACCAGCAAAACCTCAGTGGATGATGAAGCAAAGTGTCCTTTCTGTTGGTACTTCTGGCTAATAAATGTGAGATCATTTGGAAGCAGCAGAAAAGCATGCTACAAAAGGGAAGGGTGGGTCAGCTCAGGGCGGCCCACTCCATCTAATTCCTACAGCATCTTGAATAGGAGCCATTAGTAATGAAATCATAGGGCATCTCCTAGGGCTGGAGAGATAGACACCACAGTAAGTGAGGGTACTTGCTGCTCTTGCAGAGGACCAGGGTTCTGTTCCCAGCACCCACCTCAGGTGGCCTATAACCACCTGTGCACAGTTCCAGGGGACCCAGCACCCTCCTCTGGCCCCTGCAAGCACACCCACACATGTGCGCACACATCCTCCACCCGCAGACACATAAATAGAAAATAAATCTTAAAATGAAGAAAAAGAAGATCCCAGGATGGTAGTGGCACATGCCTTTAACCCCAGCACTCAGGAGGCAGAAGCAGACTGATCTCTGAGTTCGAGGCCACCCTGTTCTACAGAGCAAGTTCTAGGACAGACAGCACTACACAGACAAACCCTGTATCAAAACAAAACAATCAAAAAAGAAAAGAAAATTCTCCTAAGGGTTGTACTCAGTCCTGTAGCTATGAGCACCACAGAGTTTCCCTGGAATACAGGAGACCAGTTCTCTCCCTTGGAGAAGGAGACAGAAATTAGCTTGACATTAATAGGGCAAGCTTGCACTTCCTGGTTCTATCCTTACGATGACACTGAAGAGAAATGCTACCGTCCTCACTTTGTCGACAGAGAGAGCATGGAAGTGAACCCAGAGGTGTGAGTCAATGAGAGGCAGAAGAAGGACCTGTCTTATCTTTTCATCCACCCCTTGCCAGATGAAGTTCTTGTGCTGATAAAACTGCACAGCTAAGTCCTTGGAAGCCCAGGCAGTGGTGGCACACACCTTTAACTTCAGCACTCAGGAGGAAAAAGCAGGCAGATCTTTGTGAGTTCAAAGTCAACCTGATCTACAAGAGCTATTTCCAGGACAGGATTCAAAGCTACAGAGAAACCCTTTCTTGAAAAACCAAAAAGGAAGGAAGGAAAGAAGGAAGGAAGGAAGGAAGGAAAGAAATAGAAAAAGAAAAGAGAGAGAATGAAAGAGATGGGGGGACATGAAGAAAGGGTAGTGCACACACAAGTATGGGTATGACTTCTCAAGGGAGAGCTGCTTTCAGGCGTCCTGGCACTTATAACATTTTTCCTATGATCCTGGGTGTCTGCACAGGAGAGCTTGTGCCAGAATGTAGAGGTCAGAGGACAACCTTGGCTGTCAGTTCTTGATTTCTGCCTTTAAAACACATCTCAGGGCTGGAGAGATGGCTCAGCTCGGCAGTTATAAAGGCTCATACTAAATTGAGGACCAAAGGACCAAATTTGATTCCCAGCACCCACATCAGACTCTTCTCAACCATCTGTTGCTCCATCTCCAGGGGTATCCTACTCCTCTGTCCTCCACAGGTACCTGCACTCACGTTTCCATATCGACACAAAGATACATACATACACCCATCAAAAAGAACACAAATCTTTTAAAAACTATCTTTGTTATTTTCCACTGTACACGCCAGGCTAGCTTACCTATGAGCTTTCAAAGATTTCCCTGGCTCCCCCTCGAATCACAAGAGACTTCTTCCACATTTTGTCCTAGGTTTCCTAGTCTTTCTATTGTGTCTCCAACAGACCCCCAACTACAGGCTCTAAGGCTGTGAGTGTGTTGGGAACAGCAGGCTACAAGGGCTGGTTTGTGCTTAAGGCAACATGGAAGGAAATGTGGCTATCGGGTATGAGTCAGTTAAAACATGGCTGCCCCAGAACATGGTGCGTGGGTGGGGCTATGAGTCAGCACAAGATGGCTGACAGTGAATGTCCAGGGAACCTCAAAGTAAACGGTGATATAATCTGTTATATAATTATTCTTGGCACAGTGCCTCTTGTGTGATTTTGTGTAAACATGGCCTTAAGGTCAGGGCCCTTATTAGCCCTTCACTTTGCCTTTGCCAGGCTGCCTATGTGTATTTTCATTTAGGTCTGTGCAGCTACCTCGTGCAGTCTGTGTACTGGCATGTGTGTGCTGACATATGCCTTGGTACCTGCTGACAGCTGCCTCTCAGCTCCTGTGACCCTCCTCTTATCCTGGCATGGGAGCCTGGACCTCAAAACATGCCGTGGGCATTAGCCTTCCACTTACTGTGCATTCAAATACTTTTGTATT